GCACATCGTGCTGCCGGCAGCCCCATAGCAGAGGGGTGCCTGGCCACAGACCCCATCCGCACCGAGGGCTGGCAGGAGCAGTTCAGGCATCACTGTGGCTGGACGGATCAGGTCAGCTGGTGCCAGGGAGGTTTTTCCCAGCTTTAAGGGCAGGCCAATGGTACCTCTTCTTTGTCCTGTCCTTGCAGAGGGCAGCTGGACATCACGGCCTGGTAAAGGCCGCATGAGGAGGAGTTCTGGGTCTTCAGTTGCTTTTTGAGTGTTTTTCGGTCTCGCAAAGGGATCCAGCCTAGGAAATTGCAGGGATTCAAGGCGATGCTGCTGCCTCAGGGCCAGCTCCTGTGCACCTCCAGCAGCAAGGGCCACAGCTGAGCAGGTTCCCAGTGTCATGGTCACCATCCAAGCATGTGACAGTGCAGGGACACCCACCCCTGGGATGGAGCAGGGCCTGGGAGCACCAGCGCTCCCCATGCCCAGTGTGTCGGAGCCGTGTTTTCCCTCCCAGGGGCAGCCATGGGCAAGCACAGCAGTAAGCTGGCCCCAGAGATGCTGGAGGACTTGGTGAGGAGCACGGAGTTCAGCGAGCAGGAGCTGAAGCAGTGGTACAAGGGCTTCCTCAAGGACTGTCCCACTGGCATCCTCAACCTGGAGGAGTTCCAGCAGCTCTACATCAAGGTGGGCTCTGGGCAGGGGTCCCAGCAGTGCCGGTGGGGCTAGAGCATCCCGCTCCTGCTGGGGCAAGGGGTGCTGCTTCAGGTGCAACCTCTGTGCCATGTTCCCGCTCCTCATTTCCATCTCTCTCTTCTCTCCTCCCTGCAGTTTTTCCCCTACGGAGATGCCTCCAAGTTTGCCCAGCACGCCTTCCGCACCTTCGACAAGAACGGGGATGGGACCATTGACTTCAGGGAGTTCATCTGTGCCCTGTCTGTCACCTCCAGGGGCACCTTCGAGCAGAAACTCAACTGGGCTTTTGAGATGTACGACCTGGACGGGGATGGGAAGATCACGCGCTTGGAGATGCTGGAGATCATTGAGGTATCAGTGCTTAAAATCCACAGGGGTAGCATGCTTTTCCCAGGCTTTTCACAGCTAGTGGGTCCCTTTTGGCACCAAAAAATGAGTTTTCCTGTCCAGAGCCTTGTCTGAAAAGTCCCCAGTGTGCAGCAGGACAGCTCGTGCCAGCAGCAAACTGGGTCCCAGCAGAGCAGCGATCCTGTCCCCTGCCTTGTCCTGGCACCTCCTGCCCATCCAGCATTCCCACTCTGGTACTTTGCTCCTCTTCTTCCTCCAGGCCATTTACAAGATGGTGGGGACTGTGATCATGATGAGGATGAACCAGGATGGGCTGACGCCCCAGCAGCGTGTTGACAAGATCTTCACAAAGATGGACAAGGACAAGGATGACCAGATCTCCCTGGAGGAGTTCAAGGAGGCAGCCAAGAGTGACCCCTCCATCGTCCTCCTCCTGCAGTGTGACATGCAGAAATAGAGCCCTGGGCTCAGCGCCGGACTGGCTGCAGCCAGCCTCTGCTCCCTGTGGTGGTCTCACCCCCATTTTCTGCTGAGTCCCCCCCATGCCTGCTTGGCCCCAGGCGTGAGCCACATCCCATCCTTCCCACCACCCATCCGCCTCTGCTCCTGGCTGTGCCCTGGGCAGCCCCCAGCCCATGGGCTGTATCTCTCCCTCGATGAGCAGAGCCTGCTCTGGGTATTGCCAGGTTGAGGTCATCCCCAAATCAACCCTCTCCCGTCCTGGAGCTGGACTCCCTACAGCCGATGGCGAGCATCCCGGTTCCCCAGGGCCAGCTGTTCCCACATCCCTGCTGCTTCCTCCCGGCTTTCCCCACTGCTCCTCCTGGCTCATTCCCCCTTCCTGACCGAAACCAGCTCTTTCCCCTTTCTGCTGATCCCCCTCATTGCTTGTGAGTCCTCCAGGGAGGCTGAAAAGCCCCAAGTCCTGGTCTCCCCTTCCCTGGCAATTCCCTGCATGGCTGCCTGGGGGGCCAGGGCTGGCCTCAGGGTGCTGGGCAGCTTGGGCAGGGGGCTGCACCCCCTGGAGGGCTCACTGCCTTGGGTCCCTCTGGCCCAGCTTTAGCTTTGGCTGCTGGGAACAGCCAGGGTTGCTCAGGGGACTTTAGGGGGACAGCAAAAGTATCCAATGCTACCCCTGGATGTGGCTGGTGTCTGACCCCCAAAACCACCTCCCACCCCCCATCACCTGGCAGAGCCTGTGAGTGACCCCACAACTTCCCCGGCAGCATCCTGGGTGCTTTCTGGGGTTTCTGGCCTCCCTGGATATTGGGGGGATGCCTGGGGTCCCAAATCGAAGGCAGGGGCCAGCCAGCTCCTCCGTGGGCTGCCCCGGGGTAGGGTCGGGAGTGGGGGTGCTGAAGGCACGTCCTGGTGCTGGTCCAGTGAGTGGCACTAATGGGGGGACTGGTGGGGCCTACTGGGGCTGTGGGGGGGGTCTGTATCTGTACCTACTGAGCCTCTTGGCAAGGCTCTGAGGCCACAAGAAAAATGTTTGGCTCCTTCTTCTCCCCATCCCAGCCTCCTGCCTCCATCCCTCCCGCCCCAGGACAGGAATATTGTCACTGATCAGTATTGAGTCTGCACGTCGTGGTGTCGATGGCTGTAATGTCTGTTAGGAGATGGTGGAGTTGTTATTTATTTTTTTAATGGGAAAATAAACTGTCCCCCCCGTGTGGTGTTGCCCCCCAAATGGCTTACTGGGGGGCAGCTGGCTGCTGCAGCTGTGGGGAGAGGGAGGTGACAACGCTGCACTCCCGAGCGTCCCTTATGGGTCTCATCTGAGCCTGTGACACCCCCAGGAAGGGACAAGCCCTTGGGGACAGTGTGGGGGGGGCTCAGCCTTGAAGATGGGTGGGAGTGGAACCCTTCAGCCATGCAGGGAGCCCTGGAGAGGGAATATTATCTCATGGGGGGAGATAGGACCAGACACCCCTGGTCTGTGCTGGGAATAGGTGACATTTGTCAACCAGAAGCTGGGCCCTGGCTGCTCCCTTCATTCAGGGCTGAGTGTAGCCAGAAGACCTGGGGGCTTTGTCCTGGGCCCCATCCCAGCACCATCACCAACTGTGAACTTGCTCTCTCTGGATCTTTGTCCTTCTTCTCAGCCTCCTCTTCTCCACCCCCATCTTTCCTGCACCTATTTTCCTCTGGCTTTTCTTCTCCATCAGCAGCTTGCAGAGGCATTGGCTGTTGCTAAGGAGCTTTCACCAACTTCAAACACTGCTCTGGATTTAACCAGGGCTGGCTCCCGGCTGTGCGGGTGCCGCTCGCCCCATCCTGCCTGGCTCCAGCGTGCAGGGAGGTGTGGGGTTTGGCTGCCAGCCTGTGGATCCCCAGCATCTCATCTGTCCTGCAGCAGCCAGCACCTGCACACAGAGATGGGGGGATGCCAAAACCATGGCTGGTGTGGGTATTTTTAGGAGTGCTGCTAATGGAGAGCTCTCTGCACCTCGGGTTTAGCAGCCGTGCTTGCCCAGGCTCTCTGGGAGCATGCATGTGTGCGGTTGCACACGCAGTGCCTGGGGACAGAGGGATGGGGCACGTTGTCCCCTCTGTGTGGGAGCCTGGGGCATGCCAGTGCTGCTGTCCCAAAGGGCAGGAACTCAAGCTTGAGAGGGGACTCAGCTTGAATAGCCTCAGTGATCCCAGGGCTCCCAAAGCTCCTGATTCTCTTGGGGCCACCCCAAAGGAAGCTCAGGCATTTCCCAGGGGGCACCTGCAAAGGCTCTGGGGAGAGGGGGGCTTTGATGAGGCTGAAACGATGTTAAACTCCCAGAAAGACATCCCAAAGGGTTTGGGATCCAGGCAGGGGGGTGAGCCCCGTTACCTCTCTGCTCTCCTTGTTGAACCCAGAGCAAGCAGGGTTGTGTTTGATCAGCCCCAGGGGGGGGGACAGGGGTGTCCCCAAGGCGGTGGTCCCTAGGGAGGGTTGGTGTCCAGCTGCTGGCACAGAGCTTTGGGCAAAACCCTTTTGCTCCCCTCGGTGCTGGGGCTCTGCGACCTCCCCCCAGGCACCGCCCTGTGCCAGGTGAGGTGAGGTGGGAGCTGCCATCCCTTGGTCCTTCCTGGATGGTGGATTTGGGTCTCTGGGGCCCAGTCCTGGCCCCTCGAGGTCCTCTGAGCGGTGGGGGTCTGCTGGGCCTGGTGGATTTTCAGCCCGAGCTGGAAGTCAGGCTCCACACAGCTCTGTAGCTGGACTCAGTCCCGCGAGCATCCCTGGGAGGATGTTTAGCGAAGAGCCTTAATTAATACCCACCTCACTCCATTAACTAGCAGGTTACCTTGGCACGGAGCAGAGCATGAGCTGTGACCCCCCCC